TCTAGAGAATGTTAATGTACTTAAATATTATTTCTAGAAATAAACTTTACCCTATGACATGAGATAAACTGATATTTTCTAATCCATTTGAATTTATTTTTAATGCAAGTTATAGACTTTAACTCTATTTTCTCACTAGTAGGTTGAGATGAGTAATGCAAAGAACAATGGTTTTGACTGAAGTCCTAATTGTATATTTAACAGAAGTGAAAGTAAACGAAAATGTTCTTCAAAGTAGTTTTCCCAATATTTTACATATAAAGTAAGGCAGAGAAAGTTTAAGCCACAGTTCTTTTACTCTAATTCAACGATCAGACCACACTGCTTTTGTTTTGCTTTACTCAAACATTAATTTGAGTTCTCTGCTTTTATTGTTACCAGACCCAGGACTGTAACATGGGTTCTACAACTTCAGACTCACTTTCTTGTTCCTACTATAAACAGACCCAGGACATTTGCAACTTCTTTCCCTTAAGGAACATCTTAATTTAAAAAAAATGTGGACAGTATTGTGGGACTATTGATAGTGAAAATAAATTATCCCTCAAAGCCATGGAATTGTGGGTTGTGAAGAGAGAGTTACTGTGAGCGCAATTCTGCCAAAAGTGGGAAATGTGTCTCACCTTCACATTCATCTGTCCCACTGTCATGTACTTGGACATTATTACCCTTTAATAGAGTCACATTTCCCAGACTGAATTACTCATTCAACTATAATCTGTATAGCAAGATATGCAAAGTTATGGTTCAATAGGGATGGCCTGAGAATATGATTTAAAATGATCACTTTATACTGTATGAAAAATAATAGATTACTTTCCTTTTCCTTCCATTGCTTTCTGTATTTAAAAGGGTATAAAATATTGAGTTTAAGGTATAAGGATTTCTTTTAACACATTGTTGATAAGAAATTCATACTTGTTTATTGATAGTTATGTAGTTTGGAGTGAATAATCTTTAACAGTCTTTCAAATTCTGGGACTCTGTGCCATGGAGTGTTTCCATGAAGGAAAATACTGACCTATGTTTTATCTCTTCTTCACCTCTTAGGTCAAGAACACTGACAGATACTAAAGCCTGATCTTACATTACATGAGTTTTAATAAGAAAAATGTTTTTCTGAAGGATAGGTTGACAAAGGACATGGTGAATTTCCAAAATTAACTGTGAAAGACAGATCATCTAGGCATGACTGAGAGCTATGCCTAACCTTTGTACTCAGATACCTCATTTCAAAAATGTCACTTTCTGCTTATTCAAAGCTACTGTCATTATACTATTTTAAGTATTAAAATTTGTGTTCTGGAGCTGAACAGGAATTATTGCTTCTATCTTTGGGCTTATTAAAATAATTTGAAATTCATTTAAGAAGAAAAAGCACCATTTTATTATGGTTGGATTTGGTTCAGTGTTGAAATCTGCGAGCAATTTTCATTGCCTTTTATTAGCACTATTTTAACATCTAGAAATATAGTTCAAGAATATTTTAAGTGCTTTATAAAGAAATTACGTTTTCAAATTAATTTTTCTTTACTTTTTAATTCCCTATAGGGATTAAAGTAGAATTAATTATGGAATGATGTTCCCAAAATTTCAGATTTTTCCTTATATAGATAAGATAATCTTAAAAAGAAAAAAAATTTAAAACACATTTTCATTGGTTTACCAGATGACACATGGCAAATAAAAAGAAAACCTAGTCATTAGAAAAGAAATTGTATTCTGCTATGATTTTCCAGAGATGATAAGATTGTAAGTGGGGTGTGGAATGAATAGCAGATACTATCTAGGAATAGTCCCCCCACACTAAAATTGAAAGAATGGATCTGTTTGTTCATTCTGGGTCATCTGAAATTTACTTAATACTTTATGCTCTAAATGATCCTCATTTTCTTATTTCAAAATTTGGAGCAATACTAAGGAGATGATCAAGAAAAGAACTGCTTGAATTATATGAATCCAACTGGTGAAAGGGCATTCTTGGGTGGTTATCCAGGGTGAACACTTCTATATATAGTAGGAATGTGCTCTCTGTGACACTGTTGCAGGAGGTGAGGGATCGGGTGGCTGGCATGTGAGAAATTTAAAAGGCTGCCTGGGAATGAGTTGTATTAATTCATAAAATAACAAAACTAGCTAAAATATTCCAATGTTCCAGGATAAAATTAAAACATGCTCATCATTCATCTGTGAAGTATCTTTACACAGGGATTAATGAGTATACTGTTGTCTTAGGTGACTCTGGCTTCCATAACAAAATAAGTGGGTAATTTAAAATATAGAAATTTATTTTCTTGCTATTTTTGAGACTAGAAATTCAATATCAAGGTGCCAGCATGATTAGGTGAGGGCTGTCTACCTGGCTTGTAGATGAATGCCTTTTCTCTGTGTTCTTACATGGCAGGACATGGGTAGGCAGAGAGTCTTTTATAATCATATCATGAGGATCCCATTCTCATGACTTCATTCAAACCCATCTCTCAAAGGCTCCATCTTTAGATTCTATCATATTGGGTGCTAAAGCTACAACATATTTTTCTGTTGTTGGGAAGAACACAATTCAGTTAATAGCACCTGCCAGTTTTGATCATCTCACAGTCACTGTAAGTCATATGTTACACTTCTTTTCCTTGTAGACCATATCTATAATTGGTTTAATCTTGAAATTGTCATCATGGTGAAAATGTGTTGTTCAGATTCCTCCTTATGAACAGTAATATACCTTAATTATATTATCTTGTGGAATAGAAACAACTTCTTTTTCTTCTATCATTTCATAGATATAGGAGGTCTTTCTTCCATTTTTTGTTTCTTTAAACAAATAAAATGAAGAATCGTTTGCTCACATTTTGAGTATAACTGAAACGCTGGTTTCACCCATTCCTCAGGCCACCTTCTAATCTGTGTGGGAAAGAGGGATGTTTTCTACAGGTTTATTAATCTATTGCTGCTTCTCTGAATACTATACTTAACCCAGATCTGCCATCCTTGGCTTATAATTTAAGAGAGATGAATGAAAATGCTATTGTAAATATGATTTTTCCCATATAAGGGAGTTACCCATCTTGTGGATTCAACCTAATTCTTAGCCTCAAATTAATCATCCACTCATAGTGCGCTTCACTATTCAGTTTCCTCTCCTGTAAGGATAAAATCCTGCCTCATACTAGTAAGTCCCTAGGACCCAAAGTCAGTGGCAAATCTTTTTCCAGAGTTTGAATTAGTCTAGAGGATTCCTTGTGGTTAAGGATGACTGTAAACAAGCTTTGAAGAATAGTCTGGTGGGTTTTTGTTCTTCTAAGTCCCAATCCTTTCAAAATACTTCTAGCACTAAGTCAACCTTGTATATAGTTTTACTTTATTCTGACTCATTTTTTGTACATAATCTTATATTTAAAAAAAAGTTTTCAAATTTATGGCAAGTTAGATGGTATAGGGAAGAACTAGTGAAGTTTTGGACCCTCTTACACAGGGCTTGAAAGTATTTTTCACCCCATAATATCTCTAGGTTTTTTTACTTTAGGCACTAAAGGACTTCACTGCTATGAGTCCTTTGGAAAATGACATCTAGTCTTTGCTGGTAGGTGTTGAAGGAACAGCCTAGATGTATTAAAAAAGTCGATTATTGTAGTGAGTACACTCATCATCATGGGCACAATGAAACAGAATAAGTGAAATCACAAATCACCTAGCAAAATGAAACACATAGTCACTTCTAACATGTTTGATTGGTTCTCTTTTCTTGAAGACATAATTGATGTATAGAACAGCCACCCAACTAATCCTTAAGCACTTTCCTTTCCTGTAGTAATTTTTAGAAAAACTCCTATGTTTTAAGCTGTTCTACATGCAAAAAACAAAGGAGAACTCAGGTGTTTCCTGATTTGTGACTTAAGATTTCTCATAGAGAATCCTGATTACTTTCTCAAGGTTTGCACCTATAAGCTATCCTGTCAACTTACATTGTATGTTTCTAGCTTAAGCAAATACATCCTGTCACATTGCATAACAGTGATAATCATTATAATCATATATCAACACAGTGAGATAATGAGATAATAACAAGACTCCAGATCATTGCCTGCATGCTAACCAATGTATTTCATATACAGACATTTGCCAACTTGTTCCACCTTACTGAATGGTGTCAAAAGTTTATGTTCTGTCAATAGGGGAGTTTCCAGCAGACTGGGGATGCAATGGTACACATATTCTCGGGAATTTCCGCCTATTATTCTCAAAGCTTATGCATCATTTTGGGCTATTCTCTTTTAAAACTCTCTAGAGAGTCCTGATGTGTCTGTGGAACATATCTAATAAATTTCCAAGACAACATTTGGGATATCATAAGAGATTTTATGAACAAAACCAAATATACCATAACCAACAGTATCTGCAGATGTGGGGATTAACTTATCTAGCCTCCTAAGATTTTACATCAATTTTCCCTGAAGTATCAGATCCATCTTCATAGAAGCTATTTATTTGAATCATGACAGAGATTAAGTAAGTCTAGTAGGCTAAGAAATTTTTATTCTAAATGAAAGCAAGACGTGATCACGTTTAACTGCCACATCAGAAAAGGACTAAATCTCTGTGCTATTTTTGTGACCATTTGTGCTGACACTACATTCTTTTATTCTACTAAGCTTCTCACTTAATTCTTTATGAAGTTTGTGATTTTGTTATCTAACAAGTTTCACCTGAAACAAAGATTACATTTAGAAATTTTCAGAGAGATAAATAGTCTTAGCTTTAATGCATTTATCATTGTTGACTTGTTGATACAATTAGTCTAAAGGTGAGAATTATTCTCCTTTTACCATCATGTTTTTCTATGGGAAAGTCTGTGTGGTTGATTTTTAGTCAAAGCCTCAAGCAAGAAGTGACGTTGACCACCACTCCACCAACCAAAAGATTGTAGCAGTAACTCAAGTGCAAATCATTTTTGAATGTTTTCCTGTTATATTCACCTATTTTACTTTACTGTTTTTTCTCAGTGTCTGCCAAACCGAGGCCCCACAGCGATGAATACTCAAAGAAGATTCCTCCACCAAAACCAAAACGGAACCCAAACACTCAGCTTAGTACATCTTTCGATGAAACGTACATCAAAAAGCATGGCCCGAGGAGGACATCGCTCCCACGGGATTCCTCCCTGTCCCAGGTCAGCAGCCCCGCGGGAGACCCAGAGGAAGAGGAGCCAGTGTACATCGAGATGGTGGGTAACATTCTCAGAGACTTCAGGAAAGAGGACGATGACCAGAGTGAGGCCGTGTATGAGGAAATGAAATACCCCATTTTCGACGACTTAGGCCAAGATTCCAAATGTGACCTTGACCATCACAGTTGTTCTTCGCAGTGTGCTACTCCCACGGTGCCTGACTTGGACTTCGCCAAGTCCTCTGTGCCATGTACTCCGAAGGGTTTGCTTTGTGACATCCCCCCGCCCTTTCCCAACCTGCTTTCTCATCGACCCCCACTGCTGGTGTTCCCACCAGCCCCTGTGCATTGCTCCCCGAATTCCGACGAGTCTCCGCTAACCCCACTGGAGGTGACAAAGCTTCCTGTGCTGGAAAACGTGTCTTACATGAAACAGTCGGCTGGAGCGTCTCCATCCTCACTGCCATCTCACTCCTCCGGCCATGCGAAACTGGAGAAAGACCAGACCGGAGCCCTAGGACCTGCTGCTTCTGCAGCTTCTGTGCTCTCCTCGTCCCCTCCGCCCCCTTCCACCTTGTACCGAACCCAGTCACCCCACGGCTATCCGAAAAGTCATTCCACCTCGCCCTCGCCGGTGAGCATGGGGAGGTCCCTGACACCCCTGAGCCTCAAGAGGCCTCCCCCTTACGACGCTGTGCATTCGGGCAGCCTCTCCAGGAGCTCTCCATCAGTGCCTCATTCAACCCCAAGACCTGTGTCGCAAGATGGGGCCAAGATGGTCAATGCTTCCGTGAACACCTATGGCGCGGCTCAGAGCGGCTCCCGGTCCAGAACACCCACGAGTCCTTTGGAAGAACTCACCAGCCTCTTCACCTCAGGGCGCAGCCTGCTGAGGAAGTCGTCCAGCGGCCGACGGTCCAAAGAGCCAGCAGAGAGTAAGTGTGACACCTCTATGCGGGCCCAAGGTGTAGGGTGTGACCTAAAAGAAAGCGAAGAGCAATACACACAGGCAGAGCCGGAGCTGGGAGTGCATGGCCTTCACTCCTTAGGGCTCCAATGGCAAAATGCAAAATGCATCTTAATGCAATGCGAGTTGCAAGAACTAAAAAAAGCCACAATCTGCATGAGTGTAATATATCCTATTAAAAAGAAGAATCATGGTTTTCAGGGACGAGTGTATAAAATCGAAATTCTTGCAATGGGCCTGGAAAGTGTAGCAGAGAAAACACAAAACACTATGAAAGTTTTAGGTAAAAGCATTGATTTGGAGGGAAGAAAAATGAACCTTCACATCCAGAATTATTAAATATCAATACTTATCTTTATTTTATATTAAAAGACTGCTTGAGCAAGTCTGTATCAAAAAACCTTTGCAGTAAAGAAAGCAATTTGGAAAAAAGTTTAGAATCTTTTTTTTAAACACAAGGAATGATTACCTCAGCATACTTCCTTTTGTTTTCTTTTATTCACTATAAACTAGAATAGACTTATTGTTTCACTTTTAAAAACCCATGACAATTCACATCTTATTTTTCTAGCACACTCCTAGATCCACTTATATGAAAGTTACTAAAAAATCAGCAAGTTGGTGAACACTCATTTCACCACTGAATTTCAAAGGTCAGGAGTTTCTCCAAAAGGGACTAATCTTTTTATGCACCTTACATAAATTACTTCACAAGTATATTAAGGGAAGTCAAAACAGATCCAGGCCAATTTTCTCCATGTCCAGTTCATTAAATTATACTAGTTTCTTTTATTCAAAAATGCCATAGGCACCTAAACCAGCAATTAATTATTTGCATCTCAAATGATCCCACCACACAATTTTGATATCTACTCATGTGGTCATTCTGAGGACTGTCCCAAAAGGGAAAGAAATCCTAAATGGTTTTGATGAAGATAAAAATGACATTCTTAATTTTCATGGGTAGTTACAAGCCACTTTGCCTACCGTTCTCTGTTTTTACCTAGAGAGATTTATGAAAGAATTAGTTAGTCAAATAATCCATCTCCAAAACATTTCATTTACTTAACTGAAAGGCAGTAGTTTCTAATACTTCAGGCATGACTGGAGTTAACATTTATACATGCATACATAAAATTATTCTAAATTTTTTTAAGAATTAAAATTAGGAGCAACCTCTCTATAGAGCAGTAGTTCTCAACTAGGGCTATTTTGCCCCCAGGGATATTTGGCAATGTCCAGAATGATTATTGGTTGTCACATGGGGGTTCTACTTGCATCTGTTATACAGAGGCCAACAACTTACTGTGCACAGGATCACACACATACACAGAGAGAGAGAGAGAGAGAGAGAGAGAGAGAGAGAGAGAGAGATGGGCTAGTCCACATCAAGCACAACACATATTTTATTGAAAATCCTTAACTGCTCATGTGAAATTAATAGAAGATTCATCTTAGAATTGGTGAAACTATCAAATTTTCCCCCTACCTATCCTTTTCTTTGGAGAATCCTTGGGTGGGTCCAGCTGGCAGCTGTGCCAGTTAGCTATAAAAACTATATGTAAAAGATATGATTAACTAATGAAGTTATTTCAAGAAAATTCCATCTGTTAAAATCAGTCTATGTGCTATAGTCACAAATTGTCTATCTGACATTAAAACAAGCTTTGTGGGCTTCTAAAATAAAACCTGTGTGTAAAAAGTGACCAGGCTCTTTATGGCTTTTAAGGAGCCAAGGATTAGATTCCTTTCCAGGTGCTATTAACCATGTAGCAACCCTTCAGAGAAAGGGAATGCCATGAGGTCCATATAGCCTTGTTATCGTTCCCTAATTCAATAGGAGGAAGGAAAAATGCAAATTATATAAGTGAATAATCAAATTGCTATTTTTTGACACTAGAGGAAAATAGATATTATCATATGCTAAAAAAATCACAAGTGTTCTTAGAAACATTCTATAGTACAAAAATTGAAAGAAAATTGCCTATAATTGAGAGTTGACTGATCATTGTTGTTACAACTCTTCCATTTACTCTTACCTTTAGCATTTGTAGGCATCTGTTGATACTTTAGGAACAGAATAGATGTCTCATTTGTTTTTTAACACTTCAACAATTTTTTTACATTTTAGAGATAAAAGAAAGACTAGCCTGTCTATTTTCCCTTCACTGGAAGAATCAGTTTGGATAACTTTTTAGCATTCAATCTAAAACAAATATAATCTTGGTTTTAACTAAAGAAATCTATGTCAAATAAAACTTATACCTTTCACCCATATTTTTAAGTCATTAAAAGGTACATCAAATGTTAACAACTTCATGCCTTAAAGATTTACAATTGTTGATGGGTATTAGACAATAGGAAAGAGATAAAATAAGACAAATGTGTTAGATTACAAATAAATTTCATTTTGCTTCAAAATAGCTTAAATATCGTCCTCACATTAACTGTTAAAGGAGCCATTTTTCCCAATTGCTGCAGCATTGTAATATATTTTATCATGATTAAATGTGAGCATTTGATAGTCTCTATAACTCTAATAATTTTTCTTTTATTTGGTTACTATTAATATATGTTTAAATTTGTGCAGAGAGAGATATTGTATGAGGCATGCAAGAAATGGTTAACTCCTACATTAACACTATACATTTTCATGATCATCTAAGAAGAAGGCCATGATCATCTAAGAAGAAGGCCATGATCAAATATATTTTATGGCAAACTTTAGAAACACAAATGATACCAATTTTCTGTCCGTTATGTTTGTCTTCCCTTCACGTGTTCTTATTTTACAAATCCCTTTTGACTCTGACTTGAATCATTAGACCACTTAGGCTATGGATGAGCATCTTAATTTAATAAATTGCATACCATTAATCAAGAGATTAATTGCCAAGACCAAATGGAAAACAGAGGACACTTACTTCTTAGTCATCTTGTGCTGCTGTAAGAGAATCCCTGAGACTGAGTCATTTATAAGAACTGAGATCCATTTGGCTCATGGTTTGGGAGGCTGGAAAGTCTAAGAGCAGGACCCTCTCGTATCTGGCAAGGATCTTCATACTACATCATCTTATGGCAGAAGGTGGATGAGCAAGGGAAAACAAAAGCAAGTGAGCAACAGAGAGCCAAACTCACTTTTATAACAAATCCACTCTCACGATAACTAACCCACTTCTATAAGCGGCATTAACCCATTCATGAGCACAGAGCCCAATGACCTAACCCACCTCTTAGAGGTTCTACCTCCCAACATTGTCACAATGGGGATTAAGCTTCTAACACATGAATTTAGGCTTTGCTAGTAAAGCCACCACTCCAACTGACTCTTTGGTTTATTAGCATATAATAGTTTTTCAGAGGGATCCATAGTGACATTTGCATATGTGCTTATAATATATTAACTAGATTCACCTCCTCTATCATTCTTCTTCATCCTCCTTTTCTTAAAACAATTTCAACAGGTTTCATGGTACAATTTTCATACATGAATACAAAAATACATCCACCACTTTTTGCCCTTCTTCACCCTTTCCTTATGCCCTCCCACTGGTATCCATCCCGAACAGAACCTATTTTACCTTCCTGTCCTTCACTTTTTAAAAAAATATGAAACACTTCAAGAATTTGCATATCATTCTTGTATAGGGGTCATGTTAATCTTCTCTGTATCTTTCTAATTTTAGTATATTTGCTGTCAATGTGAGCACCTGTCCATCCTTTTTAAAGTGTATATTGATAGTCCAAGGGTGTGTGGGGGTTACCTTGGTATTTCAGACATGTACCATGTACATATCACATATCATTCTTTAATGAGATTAACACCCAGTTACTCTTTCTCTCCCATTATTCAACAGCTTATGACACATTGCTTTGTATTACCTTCATACACAGATGCAATGTTTCAACATTTTTCAGTTCTCTTCCAACTAAATCTTAATAATTCAATTCCTATAAGAAATCTTAAATAACAATATTTTTTAATTTATAAAACTAATGATTTGGGAAAGACATTTTTAAAATATACTTTGAATCTATATTTTTATACAGTATACATTGTCCCATTTTTAGGAAAAATACTGAAGAGTCTCCTAATATGCTCTGGCTAACTTGATAATTCAGGGCCACTGTTGTGATAGTCATTGGGTGCAGAAAGAGAGGCCTCCATGGTAGAGCATTGTTCCAGGTCACTTATAATAGCAGTGTGTTAGTATTAATATATTATAATCTCTGCTAGGATGGTCTCTGGGGCTGCTTAAGAGTACAGAGCCCTCTTCTGCTATTTAAATTCACTTGCATTCTTCTGTCTGTTTCTTGTGGTTTTCCTGTCTTCTCACTTTTTTGGAGGTAGTTTTATTGATGCATCTAGCCTTCCTCCCCTTTTTTACCTCTTATACTCTCCTTTTACTCTTTTCCTCATTGAATATCACATTATTACCCAGCTGTGGACCAGGAAATCAGGCACTCAAACTCATCTCAGGAGTCTCTCAACTAATTAAAGTGCCCTACATTCAGTGTAGGAACTGTGTGATCTTTGCCTCCAAAGCCACTTTAACTCATCTATTAGGGTTTGAATGGAATTCCTGGATTTACATCTGAGGGGTCCAGAATGTCAGCTTCCCCAAAAGAAAGCTGCCCTGAGAAACATGTAATGATCATTGCTTTCTTTTAGAAGGCACCACACATTGTGTTTAGCTTACTTAAAATATTTTTTCAGTGAAATTTAGCAAAATAGTTTAAGGGCTTTATTTTCCTTCCTTTTCTTTCCTGTGAAAACAGGTGCTGACAAAGAGTGGGTAGGTATTAAGAAGCAAAAGGGAAGAATGGAGACAGAAAGTCTACAATTATTTTAGAAGTCTCATTTACAATGAGAATAAAAGAACCCTCAGCCTGTGACTGAGGCAGGACTTCTGATGCAAGGTGACTTACAGCACCTGGCCAGAACAGGGGGTTAGAGTTCAGACCTCT